TAGTGGGTTAGAACAGTGCGATTATGCTCTGAGTAGGTTTTAAGATCCCCACAGCCTGCGCTCTGGGTCCCTGAGCAAGACCCTTAACCCCACACTGCTCCCCAGGCGCCCCCACAGTGGCAGCCCACTGCTCCCCAAGGGGATGGGTTAAATGCAGAGGTTCATTTCTCCACTCTGAGATCAATAAAGTTCAATTAAAGTTGGGGGGAAAGGATGTTCTAAACAGTGTTTGACATAATAATCAGCTTTCTTACATCCCAGAAATCAGAAAAGATCACAAGCAAAGTAGTTGAGTGCTGAACGTGGGAAACACTGATCTTAAGGATCAGGCTGATATATAAGCCTATTGTTAAAGTGTTAGTATATAACTGTATGCATGTAGCCTGTATCTCCATACCATGGCATGTATTTGTACATCATTGTAATCCCTTACACATCCTCCAGCAGACTGTGTGCCTACAGAGAGCCTTCTTTCCTTGAGTGCGCCCACATTTCTCATGACAAATTTCTTCAATTACCACCCGCTGTCATGGCGTCATTGCACGAGTTTGTCCTCTAGCTTTATAAGATGAACTAAAAGTCTTGTTGGGAACCTTACGGTGTTTTTTTCTCCCACCTGCACACCTGTCAGTGCGGGGGAGAGTGAGGCTGAGACCCTTTGGGTCCTATCGTGTGTCACTGCCAGCCATCGCCTTGGGAGCCTTGTCAACTTGGTGTCAGATTGGAGGCACTGTGTCTGTGACATTTTTTTTTTCTTTGCCTCCTACAGGTCGATCCAGACAGCCGTGGTTTTTTTGGACATACTGTTTTCTTGCACATTGTTTAAGAATATCAATATACTTTCCTCTTGTGTGTCTGGAGGCCATTATGTTTGTTGTTGTCTGGCGCTACACTTACCCAACAAGATGGCGCAAGGAATATACTTCCATTTCAGATGTGTAGGAAATATGCATTTCATCCAAGAATTTAAAAAAAAAAAAGAGTCCCACAAAAGAGCATCTCTCTATGAAATGTATTAATCGACTCACATGTAAGAAGATTACCTCATCCAGACTTAAAGTAAATACAAACAGCTCACTTTAATGTGATCAATAAAATTTTAATGATCATGACTAAAACTAATTTATACCGTTATGATTAATACTTCTGAATTGCCACATATAGTCACATTTCTCTTGAATTGCCCTTAACTGATTCATGAGGTGGTGAGTTTAAAACCAGATTGCCTTCAGCTCTAAATCACAGTATAGATTGAATAGAAAGTAAAGTCACTAGAGGATTTCAAATTACCTCAAAGTATCAATTAACTTTTAAATTTACTTTATTATTATCAAAGTACAGCTAAGCTTTCCTATTATTTCCTGACTATTGAGATCTAGCTTTTTACCTCAATAAGGAAACAAACTAGTTGTTCTATAATTCATTTAGAGCAACTCTGACCTGAGCAAATTCAGAGATCAATCCAAAATTTCTCCATTTGTATAGAAAGTCTAAAGTCTTAAGTTAAGAACTGTTAAAACTTCAAAAATTCCAAAAAAAATGTTCTATTTTTAACCCTTTATAGGGCAAGTTAGCTTTTTTTGATCACTTGCATACCCTTTACAAATGGAGCCCCGCCCCATAGTGACATCTAGAAGCACAAGATCTATATCCATATATATATATGGCTGTACATCTTATTTTGGTATTTGACCAATTAGAAGAGCCCATGAATGACATATTACCTACTGTAAATTAAGTTGAAAAAGAAAAGTTAACAAGAAAAAAGGGTAAAAATCTAATTGAAAAGTTAAAAAGTAAAGTTAAAAAGTTAATTAGCCTAGTTAAGAATTATATTTAGGTTTATAAACTAAAAAATGTAAGTGCCAGTATCAGCATTAATGCCTCTAAGGTTATGTTGTACCAAAATGAATGTGTTTTTTCACTCTGAGTGTTTTTCATGAATTTCTTATAGAAGCGCTTTTGTTATTTTTCTTAATATATTCAAGCAAATTGGCGTTTCTTGTTATTACATTGACATTGATTTTGGCCATCAAAATATCCATATTTTATGTTAGAAAGGGAATAGGGTCTAGTCCTGGATTGGCTTTAGATTTTGATTTTCACTGATTGCACTATAAAGGGTTAATCCCTTAAACAATTAATATTTAAACTAAGGAACAATGGGTTTCTACAGCCTTATACTAAATTAGACCAATCACAATGAACCATAATAAGATAGAAAAAGAGAAGATTTAATCCTCTTAAGGCCCGTTAAGATCAGACCTTAAAATGATCACATGGATTATCCAGAACCAGGACGATACAACGAGTCATGCAGTCTTCATTTACCAACTCCACTCTGTGCTAAAGGACAGTAAGTGAAATAACAACTCAGGCATGCTGATGCTGAGCGGGAAGATCAGCTGAGGTTTTCACATAGCTGTCTGCTGAGGTCACACAGGTAAACAAACAAACACACACCTATACTCCCTCTTAGAGCATAAATCTGCACTGTGAGGTTATTACAGCTTCCAATAAAAGCATGAAGAAGTTAGTGGATCCCACTAAAAAAGTAGTGTTATCAAATTCTATTCAACACTTAGAAGACTGAGCAGTAGATACATTTTTAAATGTAATGCAACACATGCTGTCATGTAAAGCTTTTCTTGCATTTACTTTCCAAATATCCTTTAAGATTCCAGAGAACAAGGTAAAAACCAACTAAAGACTCAGATGACTCAGTGTTTGTGCTGCGATCTGTTTCCTGGCGATGATCGGATTCTGATTCATTCAGATCTGCTTTCCCTACAGCATGTGGCTTCCCTCCGATTTACAGAGCAAATCTAATCAGAAGCAGCAGATATAATAGAAAAATTCGGTCTACAAAATCAGACACTTAAGATAAACTACAGAAAAATTACAGCCTACATCTCTCACTCAGATAAAGTGAGAGATGTCACTTCTGTTGCTGCCTTTTCAATCAGCTGCACAGCATCAGTGATTAGGTGTGATTAGGCTAAAAGTGCCAGGATTACTCCAGATCCCCGGGATAATTTCCCCATAGATTAAATGGGGCGTCTGGACACCAAGTAGAATCACACCAACGGATATCCATTAACTAAATGAAAAACACTAAGGACACAGATTGTGTAATGCAAATTTCGCAACTACAAGAGGAAGCTTTCCTTCTTAACCTTTGACCTTCTAATTCACTGAGCTGCTCTAAAAGCAGGAAAACCAGGTTTCCTCTATTGTATATTTATCCAATTCTTCTGCTGTGGTCTTTAGCTAAAAATCAATGTTTAATATTTTGTGTCTGATAGTGCAAGATCAGTTTACGTTAATGTTTTGTTTAATTGTTTGCTTTTTTTCTTTAAGGTACATCATAAGAAGGTGGTTTCCTACATGCTGCCTGTCAGTTTTGCTCTAGATCTAATCTAGAATATTACATACTAGCTGCTTGATGGACTTGATTAAATTAGGATTGCAGCTTTAAAAAACATTTTTTTCCCATGTGGTTTGGCATATATGTCATATTTATTTCCCTTTGTTTTATCTAATAGTTTCATTTTAGGTTCATCTCTATTAAACTGATTTTTTTTAAAGCAAGAAAGAACTCATCAAGCTCTTGACACTTTGTGATGGGGTCCTGAATCATCACAGCAGTTAAAATAGATTTTGAGATCCTGCTCTCCCCTAAAAGATTTTTTTTTAAATAAAGGAGCTGGAACAAAAAGATACATTATTTAACCCTATATAGACACATTAACACT